CCCACGTTTATTGTAGCCTTATTCCGAGGTCGTTCCGCGTTATGAGAACAAGCGTTATGTGCCCCACGAGCGTAGCTTTGTTAAGAGCCTGCTAGATTGAACTATAACTTATGGCTCCGAGAAAGAATGATATAAAGCAGAAATAAAGTGCCTTTTTAAAATCGTCATCTAAAATTTGGTACCCCACCGACTTCGTTTGAGCGATAAGAGTTCAAAAAGCATTTCTGACACCACAAACGTTTATATATCAAAAACAACCATTAAGCAAACCCTTTCCTCTGGGAAGGGTGTGTCTGACCTCGTATATAGACAGTCGTCTACATACCTGTTCTGTTTGGTTACGCTAGGTTGTTGCCGTATTCAAACAAGAGGTCGTGAGGTGCATGCCGTCGTTAAATTAGGCGCGCTCGGCCGCCCTTGCCTCGTGTAAAGTTTATTAACGTGAAACAATATTTTAACAAATAAAAACCGGTTTCGTTCTCAAGGAACTTCGCTTATTTTTCAATAGGAGAGGCTGCATTTATGCAAATAGTCAATAACTCTGGCTATGTCACCCGCCACTCCGTCAGTTACAGGCATGCATGCACAGTGCGCAAACGATAAATGCGCCTTGGAAGAGTTGAGATCACGCGGGCAACGACAGATGATTCAGTAACTAGGTCAGTTCAGATTATTTGCGGGAAATGTAGGTGAGCCCCTTGAACAGCAAGGTTGTTACGCGCAGCGGACGTATGAGAAAAATGTCGAAAGGGGAAAATGAGACAACTACAAAGGATACTTTAAGCAGACAGATAGATGAACTATTTTAGATGCTAGTGGCACTGGGAGACATATGTATACACGTTGACGCGTAATGCAATAATATTATACAGGGCAAGTACCACGATCTCTGATCCGCAGGCTTCATGGAGGGTGTCAGTAGGAATATGTGCAGAGGTTGGTACATTACTTACCTATATAAACAAAGGCTACTGAAATATTTGCAGTAGGGTCAAATAGTAATTAATAGTAAGTGATCAGCATCACGACCGCGAATGGTTTGTCTGTGGTCTAATTAGCAACGATTTCGTATAAGAAATACCGCAATAACAGAAAAACGGAGGTTTCCAATGAAGATACTATGCAAAGAAATGCAAATTTCGGGGAGAAAGGTAAAACCACGAAACAGGCTTTTTCCCCTTGTTTTAAGCCGAAAGGCAGCCGCATGTCGCTAATAAAGCTAAATCAGCTAACTAAACTAAAACTAAACAATAAACTAAACTGAAAATAAAACTAAAGTAACTAAACTAAAGCAAACTAACTCAACCAAAACTAAAAAAAAGTAAATCATAAATTAAAGCAAAACTAAAAAAACTTAACTAAAATGGTTAAACTAAACAGTAAATATAAACTAATAAGACCAAAAATAATCGTAGGCAAGAAAAGCCGCAGAAGCATAATGTACGAAAAGCACTGCAATCCACAATTATGTGAAACCATAAAATAAAATTAGCTTACTATAAATAAACCATCAACCAGGATGGGTACATCCTGAAACAGATCGGTGTACAGTTACCCACTACTATATAGTCCCGATCACAAAACCGACAACACGGCGGACCCGTGGCTCAAGGGTTAGAGCGTTCGCCTCTGGCCGGAGAGACGCCAGTTCGAAACTCGAATGTGACGGCAATTTCCATTGCTACACTGGAGTTGAGCTATCACCACTTGATGGCGGCCAATGAGGCGGAAAAGCGCTTTGTGAGTGCGCTCTGTGTTTGCCGGTAAATACCAAAGTACGAGGTGATCCCTACAAGGAATTGGGTATGTGCACCCCTCCCCCGTTTAAGTTGCGCTAAATTTCAGGAAGGGCATCCACTGTCGTGTCCTACCCCTAAGCTTAATCATAACGG